TTTTTTTTTTTTTTTTTTGCCTGAGAGAGACAGAGGAAAAGAGACAGAAAGAGACAGGTAGCCCCAACAAGGTTCTCATGCCACAAGCCACCCTCAGTCTCAGTCTGGATCATGGGCACATGCTTCTGTGCCTTGTATGTGTAAGAACTCCCAGGGTCAAGAACCAAGGACCTTCCCTTGTGGGCCCAGTTGAGTTACTGCTGCACTACCAGCTGGCCCGCTATTAGCTTCCTGAGCAAATCCAATGTGAAAACACTTGTGATAGGCTTGGAAACTGCAAAGGTGAGAAAGATGTTATGGAAGTATATGTGTCTGCAGGTACCTGCCTTCACTGGCCTATCAGAGTCAGTTACACATGAGCACTGCAGGATGTCACAACTACCATTTCTGTGATGCTTAATATGTACCAGATACTGCTCTGATTCCCCTTCTCATAATAACTGATTTCAGGTAGACAGCCACAAGCCCAGTGGGGTGTTCAATGCAGGGTGTCACTAGAACCAACAGGAACTGTCACCCTCCATGAAACGCTACATGGAATGTAAAGAGTTCTACCACCACAGAATTCTCAATCTTCTAAGCCAGGTGCAGTTGAGAAAAGAGTAGTCATGCAGTCAGTGGTGGCCTGAGTTCAGGACCGACGAGAAGGCTGGGTAGGAGGATGGAAACAAGTGTGTAAATTAAAATACTCTGGCTGTGACTTCCTTGGATATTTAACCTGCCTGATTCAAGGACAGATGTGCAGCTTCCAAACTTTGGTTGCTACTTGGGCAACACTGACCTTGATAAAAAATGTTATTTTCCTCTCACTGCAGCCCTGAATTAAGTAGATCATTAGAAATAGACCCTTCCAGGCCTTTCCTCTAATAGCTCTGGCTGCAGCTTTCATCACTCACGAATTTTTATGGGCGGAAACGATGGGGCTTTTTCCAAATCAATGGTGCAGACTACAGGACAGGAGTAATTCTTCATGAAATGAATGGAGAGTGAGGTGGTTGGACCAGAAGGGAGCATGGGGTCCCAGCCCACTGTTCTGCAATAACTCAGAAGTGTCCGTGGCTCTGTGTCATCCTCATGAAGAAATTGAGAATCCTGGACGCTCGGTCCTCCAGAGGTCAGCACCAGGTTTAGGATAAGGTCAGTGGCTGAGAAATATAGGAAAGTTTTGCCATTTGGTAAGAAAACTGTCTGATAAATCTGTCATGGTGACTGTTAGCAAGGTAACAGATAATGTTTGGCGACAGAGAAAAAAGGTTGCAGCCTTCTTTTCGGTGGGTTTGAAGCTTCCAGAATCAAGTAGGCACTCTTGTCATTTGGTGGGTTTTTCCTGTAAGTACAGTTTCTATTTCGTTTGGTATCCGTACTTGTTGATGAATGTATGCTGCCTGAGGGAATTAATTGACTTAGGTCAGGGCGATAAACTCTGGTAGGATTTTACTGGGCCTGACAGGCCATCTGAGACTCAAGTTGGTGCTAAACACAGAATGTTGTACCAGTAGCTAACAAATGCAGTGCAAGGAGTCTTATTAGCTACATCTTCCAGAATGATGAGTGTCAGAAGGCCCTGAGGTGCACTTCCAAGCTGGAGTGGCAGGGTGGGGGTGGAGTGAGGGGACCCTGCCTCTGCATCCTGTGGAGAAGCTAGGTCCCACTGTGGGTCCTTCCACTCAGAAAACAAAAATGCCACTCCTCCATCCTCTCTGTCAGGGCGGGATGAGTGCACAGAGGGGTCAGTATGCCCCCTTCCTCCATCTCCCTTTGCAGTTTAGAGTTTTTGAAATTCTTTTTTTGAGTTTGAAAATGCATGTTCTCATTTAGAAGACTTTCATTCCCAAAGGAGATCCAGACGGCCCTAAAGATTTATTTTTTTCAAATTTTTAGTTTTGGAGACTCTGGAGAAAAGCCAGTAGATTGCCAGGAGGCAAAATATAACAGACTAAAAAAAATTTTTTATCCAGCACAGGCAGCTGCATTTTTTCCTGACCCCTTTTTCAGCCTGGCTTCTAAATTATCCATCTCTTCAACTGGCCTCACGTCCCCATCAAAGAACTGCTTCCCCAGAGGGTGGACAGAGACGGTGCAGTCTGAGCTTCTCTGCTACCTGCCTGGTTAGATTCAGATGGAGTCCTCAGTGCCTGCGCCCCTTTGAAGCTGCGGCAGTCGCAGGACAATGACTGCTTCGCACCAACAGCTCCCCTCTCACCTTTGTCTTTCTCGTTGGGCTTTTGAAGTTCCTAGGGCTCTGTCTTTACAGAGAAAAGCCTTTTGGGGACAGATCTCACCTAGAGAAACATGGAATCCCCAGGGAATTGGTGGAAACTTCGAAAGGCCCACCTACACCAGCCTTGCCCAGAAAGTGAGCAACTGACCTCGTGACTTCTCCCATATTCCCTTGGCAAGTCTGGCAAACACACACTCTAAATAATCACCTGTTATTGAGCCACATGTCAGCTGAGGCCTCTTAGCCCTTGAAATCCAAATCACAGTGGCCCAGATCCCCAGTACAGCAATCAGGGTTTCCATCAGTGGTCTGAGACTCGGTCTCTGTACATCTTTGGCTCCAACGTCTGCCCTATGGAAACCCAGACCTCAAAGTCACCCAGACCTCTACATCCACCAGATGACACCACCACTCACTCAGATGCTGATTGACAGAGGGGGCAGTCTGCAAATGAGGGACACTTGGACTATAAAGGACTTTAGGAAGCTTGTGGAAAATGAAATTAAAGAACAAGTTTATTTTGTTGCAAAGGCATTTTGAGATTTGTGCATTTCCATGAACTTGTTGAAGACTGCTTAGAACTCAGGCATCATCATCTTTGCTGCCCTTCAGCCACCCTCCCACAGGGTACCTGCTTGAGCCTTCAACTATAGCTACTCTCTTCCCTTTGTCACTACTGACTCCCCTCTCCTCCTCCACCTCCTTTCTGTCCCAACATCTCACCTTAGTTTACCCCACCCCTTCTCTTCCTGTGTCCTTCTCAGAAGCAAATCAAATTTCTGCTGCACACACAAACCCTCGAATGTCTCAGCTTCCCCCAGAGCCCACTTACTGGAGTACTTTCCCAAGCAAAGGTGGTTTCTCATCTACGAGAAACTCTGGTCTTAGCTGTTGAGACAGTAAAATGTAACATGCTAACGTGTCACGGGTATGATCAACCAGTGTCTTGTCTTAATTCCAGTCTACTCAGCATGCTCATGTTTCTCACTCTTTGGTATGCA